TCTCTCTCTCTCTCTCTCTCTCTCTCTCTCTCTCTCTCTCTCTCTCTCTCTTATTTTTTCCTTGTTTTCCTTGAAAGCTTTCACCGAACTGACTCGTGAGCACGTTGGTTAGAGCCGTGGCACACTTTTACTTCTGCCATTCGATTCAACAGAATCCGCTGAATGGCTGTGAGAAACTGAGTAGATTTCCCTGAGAAGCTGCCACTGAGACACAGCGCGGCTGGATCGACCTAACTTATAGTCATACAATGTGTTTGTAGGATTTTTTCGGGGTCAAATGGAATTCAACTTGTGGTTGTGGGATTTTTTTCTAGGTCAAATAGAATTCAACTCGTGGTTGAGGATAGAATGGGTGTGTCATTGTGTGCTAAGGTTGTTTGTAATAAATATAATTATTTTTCGACCCAGTATGTCGGTACTATCTTGTACTGATAGAGATACAGTATCCGCGATCTCCATTCTAAATCAGGTCGCATTAATGTCTGCAGATGGTTGGATGGGGCTACTGGTAGGTCCTACTTCTTTACTTTCCCTCTGTTGATTCCGTCTTGTCTGTCTTATTTTTTACCAGCACTAAATGACCATAACCGTGTCGATGTGCTCCTCTTTACTCAACAACGACAGCATTTGGGTCTCTGTGACGCCACTCGCGAAAGACGTATCTAATTCATTTTAAGAATGGTGAATCAAAATTTTCTTTTACCTTCGCGTGTGTACTTTGACCAAGTTAGCTGCTCATCGTCCCATAATCACAGTGGACAATTTTTCTGGGGATCCTATCAGCTGGAGGCCAGAGTCTACTCTAGAGGTCAATTTCTGTTTTGTATACTATTTATGTGCTCATAGCCAGCCCAACATCCCGATCTGACCCAAACCTACAACCCCGACTATTTGATAATGAATTCTCCTTTTCACGTTCTTCGGCTCCCGTGTAGTTTGTGTTGGTTCGTGCTTTGGGGGAGAAAAGGTTTTACGGATCTCTATCAAGTATCTTCATCTTTCTGGTGAGATTTAGTATGTTCAGCGTAAACAGAGTTGGCTATGGCAAATAAGGTCGAAACAGGATGACTTCAAACTTATGTTATTATAGATTATGTGAAATGGGTGTAATAGTGTACAACGTTAACAGCGTCTGTGGTGTAGCAATAAGGCGCTTCGCCGTCGCGAGCAAGAGATCCGAGATCGATTCCTGAGTGGGGAGAATTTGTATCAAGTATCTCGGTCGTTTTGCTGAGATGCTTATCCTCTCATCATCCTGAATGATTTACATTATGTCAGCGGTAGTGTAAATACACCTGTATTTTAAAAATGCACATCGTTTACTAATGCACGTGTATTGTCGTGGTGTCCTCAGAAAAAGTGTGAGCAATACTGGCCTGAGGAGGGCTGTGAGCAGTACGGGAACATCTCTGTACAGTTGCTGGACACTGACGTCATGCCGGACTTCACAGTCAGGACTTTCCTCATCAGCAAGGTAGGCTGTATGTGTTTGTGTGTTTATGTGTTTGTTTGATTGTGTGTGTGTGTGTGTGTATGTGTGTATGAGTAAGTGCAAGAGTGTGTTTGTTAGTGAGTGTTGGTATGTGTGTGTGTGTGTG